TTACGGTGGAGGTGAATGAGAAAGGGAAAGGCACGTGGTGGTTAGGAAAGGAGATGTGGTAGGTGGGCTTTTATCCTACAAACACGCCAAACACTAATGGAGGGTAAGAAAGGAAAAAGTAGAATTTATTTGGCTATTAACGTCTTGTTGTTTTTGGATTGTTGCAACCCCAACGGTCCAATTTTGAATTTTAATTCATGGAACAGTAGGCCCAGACAAGCACTAAATATATTCACTATTACATAAACAATGTTTACATTTAAAAAAAAAAGAATAAAAAATTAATACAATATACTATGGATCACAATTATATGCATACAAGTCGGACGTTAGCTTCATCCTCCAATTATCATTGTGTGTTTGGTTTATCGACTCTACACCACGTCCGATGATCAAAAATTCAATGCACTTTATTGTGAAAAATTCACAATCGTCAATGTACGTAAATAATAATGTCAATCAAATTTACTATACATGTAACATAATTTAACAAAAATAAAAATAAACATACGATTTTGTTTATCTTGCGGTCGCCATCTTCCTCACTAAGGCTAGTCTATCTTGTACTACCATGTCTGGTACTCTAGCCATCATGGGAACGATGGTCGCCATCAGCTCCAGTATACATTTGTGCTAGCCCTGTATAGTACAACTATGATCGAAGTCGTACACGTACATCATTGACTTGGCTAATATGATCTTAACTGCAAAGCAGTGCGAGTTCGCGATCACTAGAACGTACATATGCGAACTACCCGTCCACGACTTTCCCCATCTTAGAGTGAACCCTATCACGTACTCTTTCATGTAATGGGGCAATGTATACCAACCCAACTTGCAAAAGATCAAGCTATGCTCAATTTTAATGACACTAAAAAACTTTCAACTCATGATAACTCGGCCAGGAATATCAAATGATTTCGAGTGTTTCCTAGCCCAATCAAACAATAGTTCCATAGCCATATCGACATGCTATAATAGGAACAACAAATAAAGATATGAATAACAATTATGTGAACAATACGAATAATAACGGAAGAGACACTTACGTCATCGTCGAGCCACACAACACTTTTCACATCATCGAACCATTTATTTGCGTCCGATATCGGAGTCTCCACTATCGTGTTGGTCACTATGAAAGAGTAAAAGAAAAATGTTGGAAAGCACATAGATAAGTTAGTTTACGTTAACAAAATTTCATAAAATACTTATTCGGGTACAATCTTTTGAACCAGCCATCGAACGTTTTCTTTTTCGTTAGGTTGACTTCACGGAAGCATCGAAGGCAACATTTGTTGTCCACGATGGATTGTCATACCATGTGTGATGGAAGAGGTCATGCCCTTCGTCCTAAGGACGACTAGTCCCTCTATCAATACCTTTGGCACTCGCTCTGGTGTTTCGTCCATCATACCTACAGTTATAACCTCGAGAGCCTGCTATATGTCTTCAAAGCACTGTGACCTCAATATGAAAGTCTATTATATCCCGTCACAGCACTCTTATCTCATTTCGTAGCACTCCTAACTCCATCGTGAAATCATGTCTTAACTTCTATAGCATCTTTCCCAGCTCATCTCTGATAATACTAGTCAGACATGCAAAGAAAGCATTAGAATAATAGGTCTGACTGGTTGCAAACGATCCACGTAGAAGGAGATCTCCTTGGGGAAGGTGATAACAACGATGGGAGTTATCTAATCGATGGAGATGAAGGAAATATATGGGGCGGAGGCGATCGTTGTACCACTGGATGGTGCTCCTATACAAATAAGAAGATATAACATTAATAATCTACGCATATATAGTATAAGTTAGATCAACTAACGATATTAAATAAACATGCCCTATATGTATAAGGAATGAACTCAAATAGTGGATCGTCTTCAGTAGGTAAAACTGATAATCTACGCATGTACATCTGATCCTACTCATCCATTGAAGCAGTCAACTCAGTGTGGACTTCAAGCTGACATATCAACATTTCAACGTGTTAACGATCATGTATCGAGCCGAGTAAATATACATACAATACAAATTGAAAATATATAACACTCACCCGAGGATCGTCAAGGATGCATGTCAAATCTTTGGCCAATGGCTTCTCATGTGCTCGCCAGTAAAGCAATCGGGGGCAGCTGGTCTCCTTTCTAATCGCCCACTTGCTACCCAAAGAGGGAATAGCCTTATACACCTATACCTGTAACAATTACAATTATTATGCTTATACATTTAATAAAATTTTTAACATTTATTAGGTTCAATATTTACCTGCAAAACCAACGGAAAGTCATATGCATCATACTTGCGCTAGGCCTTCTCCGACTTGGGCGTCGAATGCACCATCCTGAAGACATATAGCATATCAATGTAGCATCTCCGACCACATGGAAAGTTGTTGAAAGCATCAATATCATCAACAACATCAAATGAATAAAGGTCGATCGACGTCTTACGATATCACACCTTAATACACTCTCCAGTATGAACACCAATCCTAACTTCAAGTTGTCCAACATGTGATCGCATTTTCAGAATTCGTCATCTAACCGTGTGGGTATAATGGTCCTTTAAGCTTTAGCTCCAAATATAAATCCAGCAGCTTTTTATTTGCCTTAATACGAGACCTCACTATTTTTTTACCATTATAATTCAAGCCCGTAAATGAGGGCAAATTTAAAAATCGAGAGTCTCAATACCTTCCTGTCCCCCATGAAAAATGCAGCTCATCGTCATCAACTGCTTTAAGCAGTCGAAATAATAAGGAATCAATTATCTAACCTAACAATTGCATGTCCTTCAACGAATAGAAAGACTATAGGAATGATCGAAGGAGTATGACTACATGCTCCTCATCGAGCCCCTCCAATACTATAACATAGTTGGAAAAGTTACAATACAACGTAACTTTTGCCAAATGAGTTCATACTGTTATCCAAATGGTACTTCATCCTGCAAAAATAATAAACGTTAAAACCGTACACAATAAATTATGAATAAAATATATTATCCTAAAATTTAATCAATCAGATTATATACTATTGTACACAAGAAATAAATTCATCTCATCACGCATTAAAAAGAAAAAACAAAAATGAAATTTTGTATAAAATAAATTGAAATAGGAAAAAAATAATTTAATCCAAGTAAAAGCAAAAAACGAAAATGAAACCTGTTTGGCCTCCATTAAATTTATAACACATTTTTTTTTCTTTTCTTTTTAATTACACGTTCTCCAATAAAATAATATTATGCAATCATTAAATTAATGGAAAAAATTAAATTAAGGAAAAAAAGAAATTTAAAAAATTATAACATTGAAATTAAAAAAGAGAGAGAGAGAGAATAAAAAACACGCATACAAAAATTAAAAAAAAAAAATTAAAAGAAGCAANCTAACGTGTATTTATTCATTGCTCATCAAATATAAAGATACCTCCAACTATCAGACAATGATTAATTTAATACGAAGGTCCGACATAGCAATTTTCAGTTAGAACACAAATATGCTGATACTCACCAAGTACTTGCTTCAATCATAATCTTGAACAGCAGTCCAGCCTCAGAAGTTCCCCAACATCTGCAGAGAACAAAGAAGAAATCAGGGAAAAATGTAAATACATTAAACTAAAAAAATAAAAAAATAAAAAAAAAAAAAAAAAAAAATCAATTCTCTACATTCACCACTATGCAATACTAAAGATTTTGAACAAATACTAACATTGTCAAGTTTAGAAGATGAAAAAGTTGAATATAGCCTTTTGTTTCGTATGTAATCTTAAAGTCTGGATCTGCTGCATTTTCTTTCTCTTAATTTCTTTTTTCTTTTCAAATGGTATAGTAGGTCAGTAAACATTTTGCTTTGTTTTTATCTTCTCTCTCTCTCTCTCTTTTTTGCATTTAACCATTTGAAAATTGGGCCGGATCAACTGGCCATTGGCCACTATTTCCTCATTAAAGAAGAGGGACAGGAAATGGGTTGGGCCAATATGAGAAAAAAAAAAAAAGAAATATTTGATTTGGAGCTGATATTTAGAAAAATATTAAACTAAAATTAGTTAATTGTTTAGTAAATTTTATTTAGCCTCAATTTGATTTTAATTAAAATAACCCCACATTTCCACACTTTTAACCTCAAATTTCATTAATCTTGTCAAAATTTACTAAAAAATTGATTTTAATCTACATATAAACAAGGACTTAAAATTATTTGAGCATTTGATAAAAAATAAAATATTTTATTTATTGATGTGTGTAATTCAAAAAATGAATATAAATTGTTATTATACGTTCAAGTGCACGTTGGAAAATTAATTAACTAATAATTTAATTTAATTATTTTTCTTCTGCATTAAGCTTTGTTGTTGTTTGGGATTGATTAGATAATATTATAAATAACAATAAATAAATAAATAATTTGTTGACTAATAGAGACCATTTAAAAATTCTATGCTCTCGCCGTCTAGCCTATGTACACCACACCATGATCAAGTACTATAAATTAAATTATAATATGGTAGACGTAACAATTAACCACTTCGCTCATATTTTTTGTTTATTTAATTTATAGGTCACTCAATTTAATTAATTTTCTAATTACAATTAAAATTAAATTGAGACAGACTGAGAGTAATTATTAAAAAGATTTTTGCAATTTAAAAAATTGAGAATTAATTTTAAGTGTTCTGCTCGAAACCAAACTGCTTTTGTGATTTTGCCCATCCATCCCTGTCCTTGACCAAACAGACCGTCTCTCCCTCTCTCTCGCTCAACAATCACAACCCTAAACCAATAATATAATAAAATTAGGTTTTGTTCCTATTTGATCGCAGGTGGATTGAATTTTGGAAAAAAGATTATTCATTTAATTTCGGCTACTGGGGCAATTTTAACTGTGATTTGCTGGTGAGGAATTTCTTTTTTCTGGGGGTTCTTTTACCGGCTATAAATGAGTTGGAGATAAAAAGGAAAGTAAAGAGGAAGGAGATTAGCTTAAAATGGCGAATACGGAGTTGCAGATGAACCCTCAAATGGAACAGATCCATGGTGAAATTCGTGATACTATGCGTGCCATTGCGTAATTTTTCTTACTTCTTCCCTATGTATAATCCACATTTCTGGTTTTATAATTGATTTCTCATGTCGTTTTTCTAGGGTTATGCCTGCTTATATAGATTTTCTCCGATTATCTCTGAATTGTATAAAAATGTGGAATTGCCTTCTTTTCTTTTTTTTTTCTTATTTACTGAGTATCTATATTGATTTGGCATGATGATGTTTTCTTTCTGGGTTAAGTGAAGCAAATGAATTTTGGCCACTTTTGCTTTGGATACCATTATTGGGGATTCCTGCACGTGTGGGTGGCTTCAACAAGAGTTTGGACAGACTTTATACATGGGATGTCTTAAATGAATACACCGCTCGTGAAGTGATCGAGGTTTTTATAACAATAAAATGCTTTATTAGGCCGTATGTGTTAGTTTTTTCAAAAAGTTTGTACCTTGGTAGGTTCACGCATCCAGATATCTTTGTTATCCTTTGTGATTAATGTGAGATGGTATGTTTGTTGGAGAAAAGATTAACCTCACTGAAAAAGTGTATTCCACCTCTGATGTTCTGTGTAACCAGGAGTATTTGGATGTTATATACAACCTGCCTTTCACCAGTATGATTCTCCTAGTTGTATAAACTTCTTGATTCTTCTAGTATTCTTGAAAAATTTGTGGTGTAGTAATCTCGAACCTACTTTTATACATGTGGCATGATGGAAATTTATTTTTGATATTTATCACCTTAACTTCATGAAAATTACTTTATTTTAATCAGAAATGGCTTTCAAAAGCTGGATAAGATTAAAGACTCCAGTAGACAAAGTAAGCAGCTGGAGGAGCTCACTGGAAAGATGAGGGAGTGTAAAAGGTATGCATTTTCTCCTAGAAAAAAGAAAGTATTGGTTGTATTGTTCTTAACATATCAAGTCAAGAGGGCAAGGCTCTAGCAATGGGAGGAAAGGAGAACGGGTAAGCAGAATCCTTTTATCATTTGATTTGGTATTGATGAAGGCAGTATGTTACTGTCCGGCCCATTCCTAATGAAGGAAGGAATGGAGTAAGGGATACATGCTTCCTATCATGATTTCCCTTTTATTTTGTACGATGTCTGTCATGATACTCAATTGTATCTAATGCATGCTGCAAAAAGATTTATTAAATGGTCTTAAAGTTCTCTCTGGTGCGATAAATGGAAAGAAACTTATTAAGGAATCATAATCCTCTACATTCACAACAAATAATTACTAACCACTCTTCAACATTACAAGTAGCAATAATTAGTGTAGATCTTAAATTGATAATGTCTGCTTTGTACTACAAGATCAGCAGCATTTATTCGTTCTGATCTTTCAGATATAATGCCTCTTAATTTTTTTCATAATAATGTATTGGCTGCTAAATTTGCTAGGCTGATTAAAGAATTTGATCGTGAAATTAAAGATGAAGAAAGTAGAAATCCTCCAGAGGTGACTAAGGAACTGAACGATGTAAAGCAAAACATGGTAAGTTTTGAAGCTGAAATATAGGGCGTGTTCGGTAGAGATTAAAATCGTATTAAAATTGAACAATTAGTCCTTATTGTTGACTTTTATTAGACGAGTGAGACCCAATAACGACTATATTTTCAATTTTAATTGGATTTCAAGTACAACCGAACACGCCCATAGTAATTTACTAATCATGGCAATGTGTTATTTATTTATTTTCCTAAATTCTTGATTCAACACTTTGTCTAACCCCTCTCCCACACACCCCGCCTGCTGAATACTGGATGTAATTGATATTAAGATGGAATGGAACAAGCACATTTATAAAGAAAACAATCATCCTGACTTAGACCACTTTGACAGCGGAGTATACTCATTCTTTTAAATACTGTATTAAATTATTCTCATCCGATTAAGTGGCATTAAATTTTAGCATGTTTTGTACCATTTTATATGGTTCTCATTTTCTAGTTTTTAGTTTTGGCTGGCCTTAGAAGGTTGATCATTTTGTCGGACTAAAAGACACAGGTGCACCTGCATGCTGCTGTGGTTATTTTTGTGAAAATTTTCTTTATTTTTTCTTTTACAGATCAAAGAGTTGAATTCATACGTGGCTTTGAGGAAAACGTAAGTTCACTGTTTCAGTTGATATTTTCTTATTGTTCACTGGTTCGTGACTAATGCTGTCTGAAGTCCAATTATGTCATAAACGTTTCCTTGTCATATGTAGTTAAGAAGCATATACACAAACACATGATAAAGACACAATGCATACATGAAATCGAGTCAATTTCCTAAAAAAATATCCCTAAAGCGTCGCTGCACATATCGGACATGGATACTGTAGCCCAAGGCCATGCAATCTGGATACCTGGGGATATATTGACTCCAAGTAAAATGCATTCGTTGTAATTTACTGCAGATATATAGATGAAAGTGTACCATGCATTTTTCTAATTAGTTTTATTCTTTGAAGTTTTCCAACCCATCTTTGTTTGATAACCTATTTGTTGTGATGCAAAAAATAATATTATTACGAGGTCTATCGTATAGCTTGATTAAAAAAGAGATTGTGTCTCTTTCCTGAGATCCACTGAAATAATAAAATATTTGTATGTATATCGATAATCTTATGCGCAAAGCCTAAAAGGCCACTATTAACTCCCATATTTAGTGGCTACTATATGATCCGACAGGACTAATGCTTATTCTTTCTTGCATTGGTAGTCCATGAACTTGTTAAATGTGACCAATGAATTGGGGCTTCATTTTGCATCAAATGCAGACAAGTTATTCAGATTTGGCTTGATTCACTTAAATTCTGGTACATAATATTATATACCAGTCTTTGGGATTTGTATGATCAATCATAAATCCAGACATGTCGGGACAGTTCTGTTGTTTTGTTAATGTTTAATATCAATTTGATGTTCTTTATGAACAGCTGAAAATTATTCAAAGATTGTTCACCTAGAATTATGGAAGTGCTGATGCATCATGGAATTAACTTAACTGCATCCTTTTTCTCGCTATGCCCGTGTTTCCCCTATTCTATCTTACTTGGAGCTGGGACATTGCAGGTACACGAGCACTCTTGGAAATAAAAGGGTTGAACTCTTTGACATGGGAGCTGGTGCCAGCGACCCTACAGCTGATGAGAATGTTCAAATGGCATCAGGTGGGCATTCAATACCTAGTCATTCTCTATAATTGAAGTTCGATTTCTAACATATGATAAGCTGTGTGGTAAAGGTAAGTGCCACCTTTCTGTCTTTTGCCATTAGTTTTGACTGTTTAATTACTTCATCTTTGTTGATACATTTGTTGCCTGTAGGAAATTTAATAATTTATGCTCTTGGTCTTCTTTCTTCTGATTTAGGCATTAAGTGTTGATGGATAAAGGGTATCTTAAGTCATTTTGTGCTTTCCAATTACAAACGTAAAAGATCTGATGTATATTTGTGTTTTTACCAATATATTTCGGGACCAGAATTGTTATTATATTAATTCAGGTGCAAGCAAATGCAATTTTTTTGGTCTATTCTATAGAATTTCTTCTTTTTTGTTTACAAGATTGAACGATGAAGTAAATTTTCTTGCTGATCATCTAGTATGTTAATGTTTTTTGGTTTCTTTTATCTTTATTTCAACATTTTCCATATTATGTAATGGCGTGCAATTCCAGGCTCATTTATTAGATAGCTACTGAGTTCTGCCATTTTATTATATAGCAATCAAATGGATATTCTGTGTAGACAGCTCAGAAACAATTGGCTACCAGTTGGTCTTGGGATAGCTGCTTATTGCTTGCCAGTTGTTACTAGCATGGTGTAACACGTTTTGGAAAAGTGTAATCTACATCTTTCTGCTCTTCTTTTATGATCTGCTTTATGGACTCTTGATGCTCTAAAATTGGATGGATCACCTTCTGAATTTACAAGATCCAAATTCCTTCAGATGTTCATTGCATAATGGACGCCACTGCAGAATTTTCTTGGTTGTATGCCTACCGAAATTGACATTTTTCTTCCTTGTACTTTTGACTCGCTTCATAGAAGAATACTTTGTGTATGGGCACAATCATGAAGTAACAACATAGTTCTTGCAACTAAGTTATGGTGCCATGTTGATCATAATTTACATTTCAAAGATATAAATAATATTTCATATGATGAAGCCAGCATGTCTTCTCCTTAAGAAATATTCATCAAGATATTTAGTGAGTGTTTAGATGATGAGTTATTAATATCGATTAGATTGTCTTCTTTCACATCTTACAGTAGTCTTCATTACATGGATATTCTATAGAAATGTCAAACCAGGAGCTTATCAATGCTGGAACGAAGACAATGGACGAAACTGACCAGGCCATTGAACGCTCCAAACAGGTAAGTTATTAAGTTTTGCATATTCTCAAAATGTACAATTTGATTGTATTCTGAACTTACCATTAATTGTAGGTTGTCCACCAAACGATTGAAGTGGGAACTGAAACTGCTACTACCTTGAAGGGCCAGGTGAGTGCGCACTGCCTTTACCCTCTTTTAGTGGTCTCAAGTGTTTTCTTATCTAATCAATCATGTTGCATTGTGTAGACTGAGCAAATGGGTCGTATTGTCAATGAACTGGACACAATCCAGTTCTCCATCAAAAAGGCATCACAGCTCGTTAAGGAGATTGGCAGACAGGTATGGCAGTTGGCAATACCATCTCTTTCTATATATTTTGCTTGCTTAAAATCATTTGAACTCTATATACAAACTAATGTTGCATGCAATCACATCACTATATCTAACAATGATATTGTGCTTGTTTGAATTCCAAATGAGTCTTCTTGGGACAAAGATGGTCAGAGATGAATATGGTTCCATTTGATTCTAGTTCCAAGAAAACTGAATTGAACCATGAACCAATGGTTTTTTTAGATTTGCGTGTAATATTATTTTATTGAAGAATGTGATTGAAAAAAAGAGAAAAATGTATATTTTGAAAATAATGGGAACCAAACAAGGGCATAATGTTTTACATAATAATGAGGTGTCAAAATGTAAGTGGAGAAGTTATTTGATTAATGAGATTTTGAACAAATTAAATCTTGCCACATCATATGTTGGTAAATCAATATGTAAGTCGTTATGTACATGTTGCACAACATATATATATATATAGAAAATAATAAAATTTAAATATTGAGTTTGGTTATTGGTTCTAGAACCAAAACCAAATGGTTCATAGAACTGGTTCTCAGTTCTAAGAACCATAAACATTAATTTTTTTTATTTCGATTCGATTTGGTTCTAGTCTGGTTTAGTTATTTTGTCCACCCTTAAAGATGGTATTAATTTGTGTGAGACAGTCAATAACCTCTTATCATGTTGTTTAGTAGCTTTATATGTTTCTTCCCTTGTATGTTATAAATTTAAGGTTCTTGTATTTTCCAGGTGGCTACGGACAAGTGCATCATGCTCTTTCTTTTTCTGATTGTATGTGGAGTAATAGCCATAATTGTCGTGAAGGTATGCTCTTTTATATATATCTATTTACTTCCAGAATCTCATATGATAACACTATTTTCTGCTTTCGGTGGCTAGGTTGATATCTATTGTATATTCAATAGGACATTATTGAAGTTGGAAAAACACTTTCAATGTTGTCATTATACTATACCAATTAATATACTGTTTTATTGCATTTATCAATGTCTTCACCTCCCATATTTAAACTGTCCTCTAAATATAGTTGCTGCATCTTATATTGTGTACTATGACGCATTATATACATCCCAGTGTCGGTAGTTGATGGTCTGTGATTTGCTATTTGATAGATTGTGAATCCCAACAACAAAAGCATAAGAGATATTCCGGGACTGGCTCCTCCAGCTCCTACCACAAGGAGATTGCTGTATGCAAAGCCAGGGCAACATTTTTATTAACTTCCTCATCTCGGATCGCAAAGGCTTACTGTGTCATCCAATTTCATTACGAGGCTGATGTAGCACTGCTTCTATTTGTAACGTCTGTTCACTTTTTATGCTAATCCATTCTTGCTCGAGTTATGCATATTTGTGTTACTTGATGTAAATTATGTTTGATTTTCTTTTTACCTACAGGTTTTATTCTTTTATTTTGGTTTTTTTATGACTGCAATTTTTTCCCTATAAACCTTGAGCGGTACTAGAAATTGCTCCAAATCTTCCGAGCTGTGTATCAAACTTCATGGGATTTGAATACAATTTGTATTTCTAGGCTCTTCTTCATTGCAATTGTTATTTTATTTATTGTCATTTTTTGGTATGCTGATCATTGTAAATTCCAACAATTTACCAACTCAGTACCTAAATCCAATCTTTAGGACCGCTCAATTGTATGCTGGACAAATTGTATTGGGAATCAAATTTGTACCTGAAAAATAGAAATACATCAAGTTTGGGGTGCATAAAACAATGTTCTATCTTTCAATATACGTGCGCTGGGAAGAATTGACACAAGCATAATGCTCTCGTGAAGTAACAATAAATCTTTCAAAATCGAGGAGCTCCTGTAAAGCTTTTGTTTCCTGCTATGTTTGCTTTTGCCAAGGTTTCACAAGTTGCGATTGCTTTGCAGTGTTCTTCCAATATGAGACAACCTTGATGAGGAAACAAGGGGTGCCTCTTCATCCACTGCAAAATCAGACGCACCGCTTCCTCGATCATTATTGCTGCTATCAGGACTATATATATCCGAGGATTTCTTCTCTAACTTCCAATCCTGAATCAGCAGAATGAAAAACACTTTTTATTAAATAAATCTCCAAGGCAAAAGTAAAATGAAGAAACAAAGAAACAGTGATTAGTAAGTTCAATTTGTGCAGTCTTTTGAATATATACCCAGGGATATGGGTGAAATTAGATACATGTACAACAAGATTTACATAATGGATTACATAATGCCACACGACACTCTACCATTTGCCAACTTAAAACACAATCAACTTTTCCCTCCAACCTTTTCCCTCCACATCATATTATGTAAAATCCATTATGTACATTTTTTAATGTACAAATAGCAAAATCCTAGAAACAAAGAAGGAACTGAGGTTCAACCGCAATGAAAAAGGTAGAATATTTCATGGAAGAAAGCCTTGGAGAAGAGAAATATTGTAGCAGACTAATATGGTGATGAACAATAACAATAGTCATCACAAAAACTAACCTTTGCAATCCTTTCAGGAATGCTTTCGGAAGCAAGTTGAGTTGCACGAACGTCCTTGACCTTCAAATAGTTGTACAGGACTACACCACACAATGCTGCAGAAAGTTGAAGACTTCAATAAGCTATCATATACTTAACTGCAAAAACCTGCAGCAACTGTCACTGAGAACTAGCACTTAATATGGACAGAATATTACCGATGCCATAGCCAATTATGTTTAGACCAGTAATCATAGATTCTGGAAACACAACCGTTGAAAGAGCTATTAGTATCCAATCTTTAAGAACACCAGCTACTCGCATGGTCACTGCTCCAGTTCTACCGATTACCAAGAAAATCGAGAAGTTCAACAATAGTGCACAAATGGCATTGGAGAAAAAGATCCAGAAATTGAACTGAATTTGGGAGATTTCCATCCCAGGCTTTTCCAGGAAGTACCAAGGTATAAACAGAAAGAGGAAGCTGCACAAGGGAAAAATGCCAAGTTTGAAGTGAGGTCTATGCAAAAATCAAGCTTGTATGTGTTCGAGGTGACAAATGCAAAGGGAAAATGTGCAATTTGTCCACTCAGCAAAATTCTGGTAGTCCATATGACCAAAGAAAAAACTCTAAATTTTTCTCATGTCAAATTCTTAATCATGCCAACAAAATTAGCAATCTTTTCTCCAGAAACAAAGAAATGCAAGAGAACCATATATGTACCTGCAAGGAGCTATGTAATATAAGCTTGTGATAGGGTTTAGAGTCAAGCCCTTCTTTTGTAGAAGGACTTGAGTCAAGACAAGTCTCAAAGCTTCCGCAAATATGCCTGTAACCTGGTAAACTGTACCAATCACATTAAAATGTATTTCCCCATACGAGGAAATGACAACTCCAACACTGACCAGCACCATGTTCAAGAACACGTCCCACCTTAATTTATCAGTACCACACAAAACAGCCACAACAAATGTTGCCACTGGCACTGAATAATTAGAACATCAAAGAAAGGTGTTAGTATATTTGAAAAACGTTGCCATAGATTTGCAACAGAAAAAAAATTGTTTCACATACTAAGGGCCTTGAGCATCTGGATGAAGGCGACAGATATATGCAAGTAAGCAGTGTTACCAAACCTGTGGCAGGAAAAAATGTTAGGGAATGTTCTGCATCATCTAGTCAAATGTTAGAAAACTTGTAAAAAGAATCTCTCTAGACAACAAAAATCCCGATAACAATACTTCATTTCCATTATCTCATTCTTTTGACTTTTCTTCGTTCTTGATGCTCTTAAAGCATTTTAAAAAGTGAATACAATCAGTCAAAAGATGAAATGTGAACACCAAAGTTATCGAAATATTGAGATTACCATTTTCTAATGCATAAAAAGCCATCAGAACATTTTATCAGGTGTTGCCTGAGTCATAAATCTGTTGTTGAGCAAATTTTTAAGCTACGAATGAATGCTTCCCAATGCCTATTCAATACTCTCTAATAAAGACTATTACTTTTAAGTCTAATACGCAAAAGGTGTTTGAGTCATTGCAAAGCCTTTTGAAGAGCAAATATCTTAATCGCTTGACATAAGTAACCAGGCACCATAGATCTCATATTATAGGAAGAAACTAGGAAGGAGCTCAAAGTATGAAGAACAGACTTGTTAATTAATATGGTAGTAGCAGGCCGCTGTATATGCATGTAAATCAAGCTGATGTACAAGAAAAATTATAGAGATAATAAGCTTGCCCTGGCAATAGCTCATAAAGATTGTTTGCCTGCAATACTTTCGTTCACCTATTTTTTGTTGGTTAAAAGGGATTTTGATCTTGGTTCCAGGATGACTTGGCTAAGAAAAAATATATAAAATCTGATCATTCACTCTTAAGTTCTAAAATTTGACTTGTAAATCAGTAAGTATTATTTCATACATGGACAAAGTAAATATCACATTTCCAGTTCAAGCACAACAGACCGTACACTCATTTTTCAGCATTTCCTTACTTGATGTCTCTTTAATTGTAACGCAATGCACTTTTCCAATAACTTAATCTGCATTTGCAAATACAAAAAATTTTGTTCCAGCAATACTTCATCATAAATGAAATTGGTCATTGAGTTCAGCGCAATTTCCAGTTTTGTTACACACTGACTAAAGTCTAAAGAAGTTTCTCTACTCCAGCCTCTTGTTTCTCAGTAGTGATTACTAACATGAGAAGTTTCAGGTTTTCCAAATTTAGTCTAATTTTCATTTGGGAAAACCTTAAATTACCCAGCATCACATAGAAAATAGACTCGTCAATTTGCGAGATAAGGAAATACTTTAAGCACAAGGGAGATAAGGAAATACCTTAAAAGTTATAATAAAACTGATGGAGACAGATAAAGATAAGAATAAAAATAAAAATATGGTTTAGTTATGATTTTTAAAGTAGAGTTTGATTCCAAATATGTTATTTAGATTAGATTAAATTAGATTTAAAATTTTGAAAAAGTTCTAGATTAGTGGAAGTTCTTTTGATTTTAATTAGTTGATCTGTATATCGAGAGTTTATTCAATGTAATAGACACCCTTGATTATATGAATAAAATTGATTTCTTCTTTGTCCTCAATTCTTCTGTTCTTTGATTCGTTTTCTTTACGTATTCCTTCTCATGTTCATTGTCAAATTACTACGTTCCCGTGTGAATTTGGTATCAAACCCTAGTCCACCATCAGATCAACTATAAATCAGCCCATTCACCTACATGCCATAGCTGTTGGAAATAAATCCCACATCACCTGTGAACAATATCTTGGGCCAGCTTATAAACAATGTGGCAAACCTCTCTTACTGAACCGGTTTTGTGAGATGAGTTAAGCCCATAAATTTCTACATGGTATCAGAGCCTACCACAGGATTGATGTGGGCCCACACTACTTACCCCGTGACAAGGACCAGAAAAAATTACTGGCCTGCACGTGAGGGAGGGTGTTGGAAATAAATCTCACATCGCCTGTGGACAATATCTTGGGCCAGCTTATAAACAATATGGCAAACCTCTCTTACTGAACCGATTTTGTGAGATGAGTTAGGCCCGTAAATTTCTACAATAGCCAATTACCCAATACAACAACCTACAAATTTCATACTCCATATACCATAATCCAACGTAACCCAAGCCCAGCAGTCCATTATTCCATACATACTCATTGACTACGCTGCCCACTACTCACAATTTTCAAACTCAAGCCTACCAATATACCTATATCTACCAAGTCAAGCAAAAATACCATAAATCCAATAAACTCATAATTTCTTTCTTTTAGATTTGGTCTGGTGATTGAAAAAATAAATCGAAAACAAAAAGCAGCAAAAAAAAATTGTAACAAAAAAATCATTAAAAAGGCAGAAAGAGAACAAAAGATTTTGGCTGCTGTTTGCAAAAATTGAATCAGCCGATTAGGAAAATTCAATTTCAGCCGTCCACCTTCACTTGTGTGCTCTTCCACCGGAGATGTGCCAACTTGCAAATAATGAATTGGAAGCTGATGGATTCTTTTGAGTCTCATTTGGTATCAATTTCTTTCATGTTGATTTTTTTTTTATTTCATCTTGTTGTTTTGGCTGATCTATATTAAAGTAAAAAGAATCATAATTGTGTTTATAAAATTTCATAGAAAAAATAATAAATTTTAAAAAAAAATGTTATGGCGTGACTAGCAAAAGTTAGGAGTCATATTGTTGAAAAAGAAAAAAAAAACTTCTTTGATCTTTGTTGTCTTTTAATAAACTCCTATCTTTCCTTGAACACACCGAGGATTTGCCTTCACAAGTGGATCAATCACCTGTTATACCATGCTCACATCTCTTACTACACTTGTCATAGAATTGGTCTCCGATGAGTTATTAAAATATTTTAATATTGCTATACATGTAGCAATTGCTTCTTACCTTAGTCATATACTCCATACTACGACACTCAATAACACTTATAGTAATGAGGCAATGCAAGTTATATTTACATTACTATATCACAAACAATGTAAGAAGTATCCCCAAACCCATATCCAAAATTCTAATCATTTTTAACTGTTTCCCATATCCTATATTTTAAAAAAATGATCCGACTCCTAGATATGTACCTGAGTCTGAAGAACATAGGTAAGATTTGATGTGAGGAACTCTGATGATGCAATGAGATTCTCAAATGTAACTTTAATCATTGATGAGGTGAAAAAAAATGTAATTCACTAGTTGTTTTGATGTTTCCCGGTAGTTTTGGTGTTTGGGGTACTAGAAGACTGCCAGACAATCAAATAATCATCTTCTTAGACTAGTGATTGATAACCAGCTGAAAATGCGTAATATCAAATAATTAATGCCTTGCAGTAATAAAAGCGTCGAATATGTTTGCTACAGCTCAGTGCTTACCAGAGACTTGATGCGAAGAAGGCACTTATTGGAATCACACAGGTTGCATATCTGCCATTGCCAATTAAAGGGTATATTAGGAAAATGCTAGAACAAAGATAAAGGAAGACCAAAACATTACTATGAAAGGAACATTTAATAATGAGAATTATAGACTAGATTTCTTACATGTTGAATGTCATTTTAACTGGAGATACAACCTGCACACAGTTTTTGCAAAGATCAGATAAAGTAAATCATACTAAATCTTAATCTACACTTCTAGAGAATGTTTGCATTATCTGACTTGTACTTAACATAGAACGTTGACTACATTTTCTAGGCATTCACCTTTGACACAACATAAGCTTCGTTTGCATTGCTAACATCTAGCATGACTGACCAATAATTTTTCAGCTTGATACAGTATATATTTTCATATCATCACTAGAAGCTGTAAATTATAAGAAATGTGATCCTCAACAATCTAACTTCCTTTTTCTAGCTTCCTTTCACAAGAAATCAACCCTAGCCACAATAAAAATGTTGTGGCGTGTATGATTGAAATCAAATGAATGGAAAGTTTAAATAATACATAAAAGCAGTTTTTTTGTTTTTTTTTTCCTGGCATATGTTAAAATGTGTTGAAGCCATTGCAGACATGAGGTATAGCAGCCAGTATTTATGCCTGCATTCTATAAAGATTACAGGGACACGTGCAAGTGCACTACATGAAACTGGTTTAAACTAAGGATGATGAAAAGGAAAAACATTATAAGAAGCTATGCACTGTACCAAAACTTGAGCCAGGCAAAAAGAAGTTGCTAGAATGTTTGGGTGCAACTTATAAGTGGAGAGAGAGAGAATATCCCTCTCATACGTTTCTCTCATAATATAAGCTCACTTATAAGTTGCACCCAAACATGATAAATCTTGCTTATCCGTATATTAAACCAGGTTACTATGTGAAGTCTTGAGTACGATATATAACAAATGAGAGGAAGCCATACCTTGAAGACACGGATAAGAAAGAATGCTACTGCCCCGGAAAACCCCATATGTATCATTGTAAGTGTTATAGGAAATGGAAAATTGAAGTATTTTGGAGAAAGAACCCACTGCAAACAATTTGTCATGTTTATTAATATTAGTTCCAACATTAGAAAGCATTAATGACATCTGTAATGAAATCAATGCCTTATAAGTAACTTTCTACTTCGAGTTTAAAAGTTCAATTACAGTTCCTTATGATAATATTTAATGCACGCACTCAACTTATAAGACATACATATCGACACAAATGCAAAATAGCTTAAATCTACAAATGAAGATAAATGTGCATTACCTTATTGTATAGAATAACTCCGGATGAGAGAGTGATGTAGATAAGAAGGTAAAGATATGTTAACAGTAATGATTTGCTGATCATGTTTCCTGATATTTTCACCCCACTCGTGACCAAGTATTATGTCCCTGCCGAGCTTTCCACTTAGAAATAAGACAATTTCTGATATGCTTAATCTACGTCGAGATTCAAAACAAGCTCAACAATCATTGCCACTCTTCAGAAATATGAATGATTTGACAAGTTCCGAAGCCTGAATTTATAAAATGTTGTATCCACCCGAAAAAATTATCAAATAAACTTGTATTAGCAAAACTGTATTTGTTTGAAGGCAAAATGAGAGTGAAAAAATCAGAACTACCAGAAAATATTTGAAATGTAATATATAATATGAGAGAATAAGTGCACTGAGAAGATCATATTGTAAGAATACATAGAAAATGACTTTAAAAGGTTCACTAAGTGTATCATATTATGCAAATTCATACAGAATGACTTTAAAAGGCTCACTCGTATCCCAAAAGCAGTACTATATATGATTCTGAAGAACCACAGCATACAGCCTTCCAAGATAGTTCCAAGGGCAAATCAATTACTCGTCGATTCGATGTAGTAAATCAAATAAGAAATAAATGCTACTAAAAAATAACTACTGTTCATCAATCTTTAACACCAAATGCGAGAAAAGATTTTAAATCCACAAGTTCCCCACAATATTAACAGGTGTACTAGTTGAATTTCACAGCACATTGCAAAAATCAAAGGCGAAAACTGAGGAAAATTACACAATATAATTCACGAACTTAAAAAAATACAACAAGAATTTGGAAAAACCAGTGGTTATACCTCATATATGAATTGGCCAACGCCTTAAAAATTCGATATAATACACAAAATTTACTCGGAAAAGTGAGAGGGAAAGGTTGAAAGCAGAGCGAGAGGGCTAGATTTGATGTGCCATTATTCACCAATTACCTGGTTATATTATATATCTATTAGCATAAGTAGTGATTAATATATGTTTGGTACTGATTGGCTGGCTCAGGTGTGTGAATCTAGGCCTGTCACGTGTTGGGTCTTTGATTTTGATCCGACCCGATTGAATAGGACACCATGGATGATTTTGAGAGATCGAATCGATTTAAATCATAAATAAATATAAATAAGTGACAATTAAAAGGTTATTACTTATTAAATCTACAAAATATATGAATAAATGTATTTAATCGATTATTAACAAGTGACGAATAGATGTCAAACATACGCTTAATTTCATTATTAACTATGTGCAATTTACACGATCGTACAGTGAAAATGAAACGACTTAAATAATCAACCAAATGATTTATGAGTATCATTTTTGTGATATGCATGCAAGTTTGATTCTAAGACCTACTCCATGAAAATGAACGTGCTTTTATGTACGTTGGGAAGCCAAAGTATTTGTGAGTAAGTTCTTGAATACCTGTTAAAGAATTTTTGAGTGATCGTCAAATACAAGCGGTCAAAATAATAATAATAATAATTTAGTATTTGAATTTTAGTCATTATTATATTTTGTTATTGGTAATTAGGTAATTGGTATAGAGAAAATAATGTATAATAATTAAAGTGGTAATAGAAATGAAGCGAGATATTCAATTGAAAAATTTTGCCGGCTACACTAGAATGATCGCGCACAATCACATTCCTTTGCCAGACGTGTAGATACCATATGTACAAGGATTTCTACACGAATGCCACATTTTGCCTCCCACTCGTAATGACACATTAAAGGCTTTGTTAAAGCTTCTTGACATAGCGCTACTATAAACACTTGTTCCAAATCACACCGAGGTACATTTATCCAACTTAATATATCGTTGTGATCTCCTCAAGGTAAGAATTAATTATCGAGTAATTTTATTCGTATATATTTTAGATAACATCAAATGATAAGGCCAATAAAAATAGTTCTAGTGATTTGAGTGGCTCAAAATTCAAGATGTCATGATTTGAGCGAACAATCATATCGTGTGTGCATATAGCACAGTCTTACTAAAGTATTTCTTTCACAGGATGACATTATTCATAATTCCACGGATATTGTTCGGTTGTTTTTCATGACTTTTTTGATGTTTGCAGGAACTTCGACCCCGGGGTTGTGGGTTAGTTTGGGAGGTCAGCTCGGAATTTCAGAGGTATAAATTGAATCAGATTCAAACATGGCAATTAATTGTAAATGGCGGAGATAGGCCTTGCTATATTCAGTGGCACTAGATCAAATTGTTACATGCCAACTATCAATTGAGACCTTAAGCCAGAGCTTCAAGGCAAATGGTCTTAGAAGCCCGAAGCGTTCCCGTGTGTAAGTGGCGGATTTAGTTGGGGCTGGCTGCCTGGCTCGGCCATTAATTTTTTTCCAGTGTGAATGTTTTTCTATATGTAAAAAAAAAATGTATGGAAATTTTTTCTTTCATATTAGTTCAGTTTAAACAAAAATTTAGTCTAGTCCTGGACCCGTCTCCTGATACGTTACAGTATAACTTTCTTTTCTTCATGACATATTTATTTTATTATTGGCATACTTTACCATTTTGTAATGGAAGTAGTGTTGAAAAGTGTGAATAAATCTCCCATCGGTTAAATATGAGGTAGTGATGAGTTTATAAGAGATTGCGCTACTTTGTCTATTAGGTTAATATTTTGAGATGGAACCTCAATTTCCTATGAATGGTATAAAAGATGAACCGTCAATCTTAGGACGTACGACATAGATCTTCAGTTACAACTGAACGAAGGTAATGGGACTGGAGTTGGATTGTGATGTTTGGAAACATCCCTGATTGTGTCTCAAGACAGGAGTTGGGGCTTCATGGAAAATGTAGTTCTTCCTAGTTTGAGGAAGAGGCCAACGGGCTTTTGCTTAAGGGAGCCCAAATGTTAATGTTACTTTGTTCAAATTGTTTGGGGAGTGTAAACAACGTACGATTAGACATGAAATGAAATAGACAATATGCTTACCATCCTTATAAGATGAAACCTCAAAAGGGATGATAAAAAAGACCTGCTAAATTCGATACTCGCGGGTCCTGTGCCCGTACAAAGAGGGTATTACCCACCTAATGAGGTGGGGTGGTTGCCCTACGGAAAACATGGTTCCCGTCCCCTTAAAGTTTATCTTAAATTTAAGTTTTTTATAAAAAATAATAAAAAATTATCATTATTTTTAAAGGATCCTAAAATTTACGGCCAGGTACTCACCCCAGTGGCCCTGAGGGGACTCGAACCGGTGATCATTAGGGAGCAAATATAAGGTCTGATCAATTGATCAACCCCTCAAGGTTTTCTTAACAAATTGAAAAAAAAGTGATAATTTTCACCAAAGACAAAAATAAAAATAAAACAAATGAAACAAATCAAAAAATAAAAAAAATAAATGGGTTTCATCCCCCGATCCCGTCCCGCCCCCATCTTAATTGGATATATGGTGGGACAAGATAACAAAATACCTTATGGGGCGTGGTGAATGGTCCACTCACCTCGTTGCCATCCCTAAACCTCAATTTCTTTCATTAATACTTCCAATTTTAAAACTTCCATTAACTTTTGTAATATAAGATATACTTTTCTAATTTATACTATGATTTTGTATCAATAAAACGTGGCATAGTTACTTTGAACCGCCTCCCCCTTCTATGCAATCAAAATTGCATTAGATCGATTATGAATGGTATTTAAATCACCAAAAACTAGTGGCCCAAAAAATTTACGAGTGCGATGTTTTCGACCTTTCATAGATGATGCCATCATAACTAAAGATAATGTGAACGTGTAGGGGACCAACTTGTATAATTGGATTTAGAAAATCATGTGATTAAGAATTTAAGATCTTTGTTATCCCACATCATTTCGAAAGAAAATTTGATGCAACCCCCAAACCAACAACCCAACCCACATAGATGTCGCATCTTCAACCACTAATCCTCAAGTAGACACATCCGCACGCACGCACGCGGCATCTAGTACAAGAAGACATACATATAAATATTTAATTACCAAGTAGAATTGGCTTCTTCTACCTTCTGCAACTTCCAACAATATCCAAAATTCCAGCTAATTGGTATCAATAAATTATTAAATGGAGCATGTATTTTGATTCCCTTTGTGGAAGGTGGAAGCACAAATGTCTTAATTAGTATTATTCACTTGGATTATAAGACACAAATTATCTTTGTCTATGTGTTGTTTGTTTCTTCATTCATTCTTGTGGTGAATGAATATATATTATTTTATTTATTCGGTTTATTTTATTTGTTTGACATCCATTTTGGTGAAAAATAAATTCTGGAATAGTGATTGATGGGAAGAATGTGTGGTTGAAAAGTAAGAAGAATTTTTAGGTTTATGTGTAATATTATTTTATTGATATGATGTGTGGTTGAAATGAAGAAAAAAATGAGAAAGAGAATGGTTGTCAAACGGGGACATAATTGTAAAAACACGAGTCATTTGTGGGGTAAAAATATTCACATGTTTCTCTTTGTATTATCAAGAGATTGGATTAAAATGTGCATGTTTAGTGTATATAATGGTGATGGTTCGTACGAAAACTTGATCACTTTACATTTTTCAGCTTTTACATTTTCCATACACTCCTCTCTTTTAATTTGTAACTTGACCATTGAAGTGGAAAAATGGGAGATAGCTCCATCACTTTTTCAAGTGTCGTACATCTACGAAGGAGCCTTGCTTAAACTACCATTTTACGTTTCTGAAATTTTGCTCTTAATTTTTTTTTTGAGTTGTGCCGTTTCCTTGTATGGGATGGAAGCAAAATATTAAAAAGTTAATAAAATTCAAGTCAGTCAAAAAGTAATTTTAATTATACATTTCATGGAATTCACAATTTTTTATCAACTTTTCAATTACACTTCTCGTCAATTTTTATCAAAATCTACTAAAAAATCAAAATTTTAACTACATTAAACCAAGGGCTAAGTAAAATATATGAAGGTAATGGGTTAGCAATGATAACATTTTTGCTTATAATTCAGGCTGAATCCAGACCAGACACACCCTAAGTTTCACGAAATAAGTACTAA